GGGGTGTGACCTGCTGAAGGAGTGTGTGCTGCATGGACTGACACAGTGGGGACAGGGAGGAGGTGGGCACGGTCATGGGACACGGCAGTCTGTACATCACTCCCAGGAACACAGGCGACACAGAGGGAGGCAGAGGCGTCCAGAACTGACCCGTGTCCTGTCATACTGCATGTCTCCCAGTCCCCGGAAGACAGGCTTGAGAATGGCCCGTCTCCTCGCTGACTCCGGGGACTTGGGATTCTGCCCACATGCCCACCAGGCAACGGCCTGGATGAGAAGGGTCTAGGACCACTCAGGAAGCCAGGCTGGTGGCCGTCACCCTTCCATCCAGTCACCCCGACCCATGTACGCACACCCACTCGCCCCGTCACGTCAGCTTGCTTCCAGATCTCTCCTTCCCCGTGACCATCCCCAGGCTAGCAGGGGCCCGAGGGGCAGGCTTCTTAAGAGGAGGGCAGGTGCCTGGGGTGGGCACGAGAGCTAAGGAAAGATACAATCCAGAACTTCCAGTTCTGTAAGGTCCGGCTCTTCACGTACTCGTCAAACATGTCTCTCATGTGGTCGAACTGGCGCCGAGTGACGGGGACCCCCGTGGCGGGCAGCAGCTGCTGGCAGGAGCTGAAAGGCCAGGGGGCTTTGGAGCAGCTGGGCAGGGCCGTATGTCGGGGCGCCCCCCGCCCGCCCGCAGCCTCACATGATGGTGGCGTTGAGTGCCTCGATCTCCTCACGCAGCTGCCGGGCCTCCTCCTGTAGCTGGCTCCGCTCCTGCTGCAGCTTGGTGATGTACTCCACCGTCTTCTGCAGCGTGATGGCGTGGCTGGTCTGCGGGCAGGGCGGGCCGGTCAGCGGCGGCCGAGGGCCGGGCCCCAGGCTCCCACACGCTCCGGCCACTCACCAGCTTGGAGTTGTTTGAGATCAGGCTGTTGAGGGTGTCAAAGCCAATCTTGATGTTGAAACGCCTCTTCTGTTCGGCCGAGATGTGCTTCATCTGCCGGTTCTGCCGGGCAGAAGGCTGTCATTCACCACCGAACAGGGTCAGCGGCCACACAAGGCCCAGCCCTGGACATGCCCCCAAAGCACGTGTGGACCAGGGGATGCCCACCAGGCCAGGCTACAGAGGACATGGAAGACGACAAGGAGCTGAGCTGGTCCTGGAGGAACCCAGAGGGTGGGACGGGGAAGCTGGAAGACATGCGGACTGAGTGCGGCTAAGTGACCATCAAACAACTGAACGTTCAGTCTCCCCTCTCCTGGAAGTTGCCCCCTCTGACGTTTACAGACAACCACCAGTCTGGTCAGGGATCCAGTGTGGATGCTGGACTTGGGCCTTGGCAGGGGTCTCTGTCGTCACCAGCACCCCAGTGATGCTGTCCCTGCGAGTGGAGGGACTCGTGGCTGCCACACCTGGCCTGGTGTGCAGACCGCAGCTCCTTTCAAGCATTTTCCCCAGAGCGCATGGCCTAACCCCAGGCTCCTGACTCCACCCCCCCCCCCCCGAGGGAAGCCAGGGTTACCTTGACGGCAGCCACATTCTTGGGGTCTGCAGATTTCCCTGAGTTGTTCTGGGGGGACTGGGGGCTGGGGCTTTGTTCAGACGCACACGGAGAGGCCTGCCCAGAGCTGGGGCAGTCTCGACCTGAGAAGAGTGGAGAGGCTGCTCCTGAGGGGCTTGGGGCACGGCCCAGACCCTTCAAGCACTCACTGCCCCAGGCCGGCACTGAGCAGACACTAACGGATCACCGCCGTCCACCACAGCAATGCCAGCGTGGAGCGGTGAGTGTGGGTGGAGAGCTCAGTGGCTCTCGTGGCCCACCACCCAGCACACCCACGCTGGAGCACACGGCCCACTGCCCCGTCATCACGCTGACCCTCACGGCCCGACACGTCCACGCTGGGCACTCACTGGGACCCGCAGTGGAGAGCTGGGGGCCACCCGCATGCATCGAGCCCTGCTCGCCCTTCACCAGGCCATCTGGCAGGGCGCTCGAGGAGAAGAGCCGAGAAACAGGAGGCTGGCCACCTGGGGCATGGCCGAGGTCGGCCACCAGGATGCCACGGTGGAACTCGGCGACTCCGGGAGCCTACGGGGATGAGGACAACAGTCTGCTGACGCAGCAGCCGGCCTGCCATGCTTTCAGGCCACGGAGGGCCTGTCCAGGCGATGCCTGCTCCCCACCAGGTAGCCCAGCGTTCTCACCCTGGCGATGGCCGCAGGGGTGATGACCACACTGGACTGAGACACGGTGGGGGCCAGCATCCCCTCTCTCTTCAGAGGGCCTGATGTCATGATCACCGCCTGTGGCTGCCCTGAAAAGGCAGCTGACGGGGCGGAAAGTGAGGGCCAAGCCTGCAGGCCTGGTCCCCAGAAGGCCTGCCGCAGGGCCTCCAGAACAGACCACCCCACCTATGCAAGGCCTGGCCCTCAACTTAGAAGACAGGCGGCACCAGGGCCCCCAAACCCTGTGCAAGCTGTCCTTGAAGGAGCAGGGCAGGATGGGCAGGACCGTGAGCTTTCAGACTACAGGGCCGAGAGGGGCCAGGACACGCGACCTCCATCTGGGCCTTGTCTCACTGCAGTCTTGTTCATGGCAGCTCTGCGTCGGCCAAGCCTAACGGCACGTGCTCTCCTCATGTCCCTGCCGCCTGTCATTCTCACACCCTCTCACACGGCTGCCCGCTCAGTCCACAGCACGCGCGCGCACACACATACACACCTCACACCGCTGCCCGTTCAGTCCACGGCTCACACCTCACATAACGCACCTCACACCCCCTCCTCACACCGCTGCGCGCTCAGTCCACGGCTCACACCTCGCACCCCCTCCTCACAGCGCTGCCCGCTCAGTCCACGGCTCACACCTCGCACCCCCTCCTCACGCTGGCACCTGTCCGGTGGTCTACACCACGGCGTCACTGTGACCGGGACCCATTGGAGCGCCCGCCCGCGGGGCTGGCTTTACTAAGGTGTTCTGGAACCAAACGACGACCTCTCTGAGCTCTTCCTGCACTGTGTCGAGTGGGTCGCCCACTGGTTCCATGCGGAGGCAAAGGTGTGGGGCCTGGGTTCCCTGGGAAGACACTCACCTGGGGTGATGCAGGCGCTCTTCAACACCAAGGACATGGAGTCAGGTTTGGGAGCAGGCACTATTTTGGGGGGCTGCTTGGGCCTCCCTCCAGTCAGAGATACAGGTTTGGGGGGCACAAATGTCAGAAAGGGCTGAGGAGCCCTGACGGTTGGCGGTCGGATGACAGGAGACAGTGCCAGGGCACAGGGGGAGGCCACCGGTGCTGGGGGGCGGGTGGTGATGAGCAGGCCCTGGGCCTGGCTGAAGGTGGTGGCGGAGGCGTCGTGGGTGAGGGTGGCCGAAGCTGTGTGAGTGATAACAGAGGGGGACTTGCCGACACCCATCTTCTGTGCTGCCAGGAAGGCCGGGGGAGCTGGGGGGCTCAGAGAGGTGGCAGATGGGGGGCCGAGGGGCAAGGCAGGCGAAGCTGGCGTTGGGGCAGGGCTGGGCGAGAGTAAGGGCATGGTGAAGACGGGCAAGAAGGACTGAGGGACGCTCAGCGGGGGATCTGTGGGGCCAAAGTCTGTGGGCTGGATGAAGGGGTCCCCCGTGCGGGGGCCATGGTCACAGCTCTGCTGCCCTGGGGGGTCCATGGAGGGGGTGGGGGCTGTGAAGGTGTCTGGGATGCTGACGGTGGGGAGAGGAGAGGTCGGCAGGATGTCCTCCTGGGAAGAGAACAAAGGTTGGGGTCAGGCACTCGAGCTGGTTTTCTGGTACCAGTGCTGGGACAGACATCCATCCTGCTGATTGTGGGGTGCAGATCAGGGCTCCCACAGGCTCTCCATCAGGAACCATGGGCAGCGGTGAGCTCAGACAGAAGTGACCCCACAGGAGGATGCTAGCCAGGGGCTATCTGGTTTCTCGGGTTCAGCGGGTTCCCCAGGCCCCAAGCATCTCCCGTTACAGCACAGCGCAGCCTGGATCGCAGCTGTTCAGCCGTTCCCCCAGGACAGTATCAGTGTCGACTTCAATAGAGAGGTGACGAGGATGTAACCGTCCAACGGGATCTCCCCGGAGCAGGTGAGGCCAGGGACAGCCGACACCCTGACTCCAGAGCCCTCCCTGACGACTGCTGAGCAAGGTGGAGGTTGCACCTGAGCCAGCTCCATTAATGCTGTTGCCACGTGTCTGTCTAGGGAACCCCACCTAACAAGTCAAAACCACCACACGCGGATTTGGTGCTCTGGGCAGAAGCACGCACCTCCCGACAGAACCTCACCCCAGTGAGGGCCGGGGGCCTCGCAGGACACGTGGTGAGCTGAGCAACCCTGGGCACAGCATCTGCTGCCACCCCAAAACAAGCTGTGAGTCTCGTACCTGAGTTGGGGGGCTGGTGGGGTCAGGGTCAGGCTCGGGGGCCGGGCCTGGCAGCATAGAGCCAAACATCGAGCGGCTGGAGGAGAAGAGGTCTGGAAGGCAAAGTGGGGGGCTGCTGAGTCCAGGTGCCTCATTCCCAAGTCCAGCGGCCCAGGGCACCTTCAGCCAGCTGCCCTGCAGTGAGGTCCTGTATTAAAGGCCCCAAGCGGGCAGCCGCTGGCCCTGAGGTTCTGGGTCGACCTTACAGCATAAGGACGTTCTGCAGTGAGGCCCTGCATCAAAACCCCCCGTGCAGGCAGCCGCTGGCCCTGAGGTTCTGAGCTGACCTTCTAACATGAGGTAAAGATGCTGTGCAGTGAGGTCCTGCATCAGTACCTCCACATGCAGGCAGCTGCTGGCCCTGAGGTTCTGAGCTGACCTTCTAACATGAGGGGAGGACACTGAAGTCCTGCATCAGTACCTCCCCATGCGGGCAGCTGCTGGCCCTGAGTGCACCACGTGCAGGATGCTCTGTAACAAGATGCCTGTGGTGCTGGCGCCCCCTGCTGCCCACAGGGGAGACTGCTTACCCCAACTGAGCCCATGGCTGGGTGCTGCACTGAGCACTGTTCCTCTGGGAAAAATGCCCCAGGTCTTCCGAAACTATGGAAAGAGTCTCCTTTCCCCAGGTACTGGCTGTGCCGTGGCCCCCCAGAAGGGAGGTAGAATGCCGGCCCCCAGCGTGCTCACCCTGGAAAGGCTCGAAGGTGTCCATGAAGTCCAGGTTGGGCTGGAGGGGCATCAGCCCTGGCTGGATCATGTCTGCGTTCCCCAGATGTGCTGCAACAGACAGAGGGGTGTCCGCCTCCTCAGACGACGGGGTATGCACAGGAAGACCCTGCTAACATGCAGGACTCTCCACGGCTACCTCTGGGGGGTTCGGGCCACTCTTGGAAGGCAGGAGCGGAGGGCAGTGGAAGACCACAGAGAGCCACGACTCCCCGGTCAGAGGCCACTGAGACGTGACCAGGAGCTGCCATTCCCAGGGCTCTGCTGTGCCCCATAAGGGCCGCTCCAGAAACGACACTGCACTCGGGAGCTGGAGCTGGCAGGCAACGGGGTCAGCACCCATCACGGCCTCAGAGAGGCTCTGCTCACAGCCCCCCCAGGCTTGGCCCCCCTCACCCTCGGAGAGGCTCTGCTCGCAGCCCCACCATCAGGGCCCCACCTCACTGCACAGGGCCAGCCCTGAATGACTGATGGCCGTCCAGGGTGCAGGTCAGGGCACAGGGAGTTACCTATCTCCCGGGGGTTGGGCCACGCCACTGGCTGGTGTGAGGACAGCGTGGAGAAGAGGGTGTCACTGAACTCGGACATGAGCATGTCTGTGTCCAGCAGTGGGTCCTCCTCCATGGGAACTGGGGTCTTCCACCCGTCTCCATGTTTGTGCCAATACAGCAAGTCATCATCCTGTGTCACAGAAGGAAAAGGGGTGCATGGGGCTGGGGTCTCCCCCCTCCCGGCTGAAGGAAAGGTGTCCTACACGCCGAGGCAGGGGTGGGGGCTCGAACCAGAGAGTGGGCCTTCTTGAGGGAGAGGGAGCTCAGGGCCCCCGCACTGTAGCCTCAGTGAGGTACCTCAGTTCCTCAAGCACGCCCCATTCGTGGAACTCTAACCTCCCAGTTCCCCCGTGCACACAAGGCTGCAGTCAGGGGAGACTGGCAGCCCAGCTCCCCATGCACGCAAGGCCCCGGGCCGCTGTCGGTGGGAGGCCGGTGCTCCTGCCCCTGAGCACCCACCTGGGCCAGGCTGGAGAGGTCTTCCTCCTTGTGCTGCTGGAGCTGTGGGAAGGAGTGAGATGAGGCAGTCCCCGGGTCTCGGTGCTCGGGCCCTGCGTCACCTCCTCAGGGTCCGGGTACCCTGGACACCCCCTGGGGCTCTGGAGGCCAGCCATGCTCTGCCCAGGCTGGGGCCCGGTACCACAGGGATTCTCGGGCAGTGTGGAGACAAGGATCCCAGCCCGCAGCAGGCCCAGCGCCCAGGCCCCTGTGGTCAGCCAGAGCCTCTGGCCGTGGGAGTGGGTCTGAGCGCAGCACCCCACCGCCTGCCCAGGGCCCGGGCCGTACCCTCTTCTTGAAGTAGGCTCTCCACTTGTGGTACTCTCTGATGACAATCTCGATGCGGCTCCTCCAGTACTTGCCGTCTGTGGCGATGGCCTGTCACGGGGTCGGGGACAAGCCAAGGTTCCTCGGGGGGTCACCAGACCTCTACCACGAGGGGGTGTGAGGGAGAGCCTGATGTGCAGGTGAGCAGCGTGTGTGACCTCACGCACGAGCCGGCTTCACCTTGTCCAGGACGTAAGCGGCCCCCAATTCAACCTGCACTCCACTTCTTTGTTAAACCTTTTATTGTAATCTGATTGACGCTTTACCGAGAAAATAAATTTTCTGTTCAACAATCCACAACGACTCCCAGCACTCCTCAATGAGGTCAGCCCCACTGAGAAGGGGTCTGCAGGTGTCAGAGGCCATTTGCTATTCCGTCCTTTCTCGGGGTCGTGTTGGCTGAGGGACACACAGCCCTGGTCCCTCTCGGCCTTCACAGGGTTCCCACGTGCCCCGTACCTCTGGCCGGCGATGCTCGTCCACGTCCACTGAACCATCGAGCGGAGTGACAAAGTGGCACACGGGATTCTTGCGCTTCTCCAGGTCTGGGTGGAGAGAGAGCAAGACATGGTCACTATGGCCCAGGGCCCTGGAGGATACAGTCACTACCATCCAGGGCCTTGAGGGGCTCCGGCTCACCTGTCTCTGCCCCTCCAAGGCAGGCCCTGCCCTCCACAGGCCTCCCTCCCCACCTTAGACAAGAGGGCTGAGGGGTCGGGTCAGAGGACAGATGCTCGGTCACTAAGTGTGGGGTTGGTGTCTTGTTCATCAAGTGGGTAAGTGGCCGGAGCACAGACATCTTCTGCAGCCGGAACCAGCCACAGTGGCCCGAGGAGGGGACCAGGGCCTGCCGCTCAGCCTGAGGTTCTCTGACCCTCCACGGACACCGCTCCACCGCCTCTCGCAGGCCTGACCCCTCACAGACACCTCCCTACCCCCTCTCACACCTGACCCCTCACAGACACCTCCCCACCCCTCTCACACCCCTGACCC